TTTTGCTCAGAAATCAAATTAGATGTATTCTTCAGTTGTATTAGTGTTTTTAAGAAGGGAACAATTAAGAACTAGTTGTGCTGGTTTCTTTTATTTATCCAATTAATTTATTAGACATAATGCTTTGTTTTTGGGTTTTTTTCCTCCTTTCTCTTTTATGTAAGAATTAGCTTTTTGGCTAATTGAGAAATTATCTAAAAATGTCGTTGTGTGGATCTGTGAGTCTTGCAGGATGTCTGAAGATTCTCGTGGAAGCTGTGATTTTTTCTTTCTTCCCCCTCACCCCTTTCTCTTCTAAATTAATTATTTTTTTTTAATATTGGTCAATATATTCATACTCTTTCTTTTTCCTCTTTAACCATGAATCAAATTTTAAATGGTATATTATGATTATCAAAAATTGCTCACTGAAAATTACTTTTGAAGTATTTGTAAAGATTTTGTAGGGACTGGTTAGGATTGCCTGAGAGAGCAATTAATGACCATTCCTATCTCAAATAATAAAGGAATTACCATGTACTCTTTCTGATTTCTTGATTAAAAATAAAATCCATCAATTTCATAATTTTTACTTGGTAAGAAAAATGCCTACTTCTACATCCTTACCATAAGCATTGAGTCTGTCTGCTTTACAAAGTACATTTGCCTGCAGCCATACTTATGTCTTTCCTTTTTGCAATATTCTTAATATTTTTATTTCATGTATATTTCTAATTTCTATATAGAGTTACTCAGTACCTTCTTTCTTCTTTTTTTACTACTTATTTTTCTACAGAGAAGTATGACCAAAGAAAGGTTAGTTTCACTTAACCAAATATTCAGAGAATGTACATAGCTTCTTCTCTGCTTCAGTACAAGAAATAAGAAAAGTATAATTATGTGCATCGATAAGTATAGGATATATATATAGGAAGCAAACCCTATGCTTTTAATACATTGCCTAACTATACAGCACAACAAGATCTCTTCTTTAGTCAAATGGAAAAGTCTTTAAATCCAGATTTTCAACATAATATATAGACACTCTTTTCTTGATGAACAATATATTTCAGTTAACCCCCAGTTTTATCAAAATAAATCAGTTCTTTTGACAATGTTTTTCGTGTTAGGAAACATTGGGTTCCTTTAGTTGTATGAGTAAGGTAAATCCTTTTTTAATGGGTTCCTTTGTTGTAACAAATAAGGATTTTCTCATAGGCAACTGGTTCCTTATTTACTAAAGGAATATATATGTCTTTTTTCAAATGCCAATATGAGTTCTTCTCTTCTAAGCTGCAGATGTTATGGTATGTTGTATGTATTCTTTCCTAGATAGGGATATAAAATCTTGAATATGCTATCAAGCAATGGATGTGAATTTAGCACACAATATTTTAGATAAACTTCATAACACAGTCTTCAACAATAATCTTGATATTTGGCAACAATTAATACTACATGTTTCATAAAATGAAATATAAAATAAGTAGCTTAATGTAAAATATTGGGGTTTTTTAATCTGTTTATTATTCAAATGGCACTGTAATTGATATTATTATATATCAAATTCTAATAACTGAAATAATTAATTAGATGCTAGGTAGTATAAAAGAATAATTCCTAAACTAAATGCTAGGTTTTTGTATCTGAATATTGCAGATCAATATTTTTTTCTTTTTTTTTCTACCCTCTGCCTTTGAATATTTGTGGGATTAATCTTGGAGTATTCTTTCTAAAGTATCTAAGGAAATAGAGGTTATGGTTCAAATTTGTTTTCTTTAAATCTAACTATTATATAATTTATCTCTGTGTCCTTAATGAAAAAAGTACAATTTTCAAATCAATTTTTTTCTATAACTCCTATGTTATTAAAATACATTATAATATTCATAACAATTACTATGTTTGGGAACATACAATAGACAATGAAGAGCAGAAATGAGATGGTTCAGGTAAATAAAGGAATCATACAGACCACAGGAAGATACTTGCTGGAAATCTCTGTGAGTTGTGGGGCTCAGAATTAAGTCCTTCTTCTTTGAATGCTGTGTGTAGTGGAAAGTGCATAATCTATATCCCTAAAACTTAGTGAAAGTTAATCATGCTATGAGAGGCTTCTGAAATTCAAAACATGGTTTTTATTTTTAATTATTTTTACTTGATTGAAAAGTAACTCGATCTGGGTGAAGAAGGGTTGAGTGAAATATTCATTGTTTCCTGTTTTTGACTTAGCAATTGGAGTGGAACATTAAAAAATATTGAAAATGAAATGTCTTCATGACATTTTAGCATAAATGTTTATGGCGGTGTGGCTGTTAGAGAAAAACATGCCTGTCCCACTGACACTGTCACATACTGTTAAAGAAATAACTGCAGGATAAAACTGTAGCTGTTTATCACATTAAAAGATGAGTTTACTCAAGGACTAAAGCAATGACTGCCTTTTACTTAATTAAATGGGCTAATATGTGTGCATCATTTCTCTCCAGAGCCTGGTTAAAGAGTGCAGAATGAGTTCAAGAGAGGGACAAAAATATTCCCAGAAACTGGTAAAAATTGTCTCACTTCTTAAACTTACAGAAATTTCTTTTTTTAATTCAGGTAGGAGTTATGCTTCTAGGTGTTTTTTCAGTGCTATGTTATGTCTGGGGCTGGACACAGAGATACCAAAATATTGTGAAAAGCTGTTCTCATGGCATTTTTTTCTAACACTGAGACTGCTAAAAAATCTGACAAGAAATCCTCTTTCCAGATTTCTGCCCTGATTTTGCAGACTCGAGGGGCTTGTGTAGTCCTAATAATCTTCAGCTAAGCCTGTGAACATTTAGATGCTCATCTCAATCAAACTGAAATTCCAAACTTAAGTCTCACCAGTCACCAATCTAAACCTCAAAGCTGTAGTTCTACCTCCAGCAATACTTTTCAAATGAAGACCCATATATATGAAGGAAATGTCAGAGTACACCAGGTATATCAGACTGCAACAGAGAAGCACTATATGCACTGTACATGGCACACCATTCAAATGTTGAAAGATTAATCATCTAGTCTCTAAATTCACTTTCCAAAGTTTACTATCTGTTCTGGTATGCATAGCTATGCATTGTGCAAGAGGATGCTTTCTTTCCTGTGAGCCCAGTGACCATCTTATTTTTGACCTTTTAAGAAAGGAAGAAATAAAATGAAAATTGGTCTTAATATAATGGGCTAGGAAAATATGTATAGCCTCTTAAACTCCACGTATCCCATGCAGGTATTTAAAAACCATAGAGAGTAAGGGATTAGCAAGTATAAATAAAGAAATACAATGTGTTTGCATAGCATAGGTGTACTGAGGAAAGGGTTGAAGAGGTGGAGCAGGAAATGTCAGAAAATATATTTCAGTTCCTTGTTACACACTCACAAAACCAGGAGAAATAGAAACATGGCAGAAAGGTAAAGAAAGTAGAATGAAATAAATAATGCAAAAACTATTCCCTATAAGCAGTGCGATATTAGTAGCAGCTGGGAAGATTGCTCTGGTGCCTTAATAGATTTTCTAGAGAGAACAAAGCCACACCTGTTAAAGGTGAAATTTTACCTTAATGCTCATCTCACAGACCAGATTATATATATTCCTTAGAAGCAATAACATATGTTTTATTCATTTCTGTAAGTTTCAACAAATTCTTAAGGCAGAACATGTTACTATCAGTCTGGACCTGAAAATACAAGGCAGTGTGAAAAGTAAGACATTAGAACAGCATGGTCCATTGTTCACAATCTTGATATCAAATCCAATCACTGAGGAGATGGTTTGCTACAGTGACATCCTAACACTAACTACTTATTGAATCTCTGTCATTTACCTGTCTAGAAGTATAGCTTTTATTGTAAGTTGTTTGTGTTGTAAAGGTGTCCAGGATTAAACTTTTCAGTTCTTTGGCCGATGACATAGAATACTGAAGATAATTTCTGTTGTCTAATTGAATTCCTGCTTTATTTTTCTTTCCTAAATTTAATTATTTTTCACAGATATGTTTTAGGTAAAGTCTTAGTTGCAGGCCCAAAATCTCCAGAACTTCCTAGTGTGCTATTATGATGTGAACAAAATCAATGAGAAAAAAAAAAATACAATGCAGAAAGTGTTAAAAAACTCACCCATTAATTATTTCCCTGTTGCCCAGGCAGTTCCACTGTAGTCTTACATTAGTTTCAGATGGTACCAAATCAACCACAGTTCAGTTTGGTTTACAATGTGCTCCCCCAACTGAGTGATATAAATTGTTTTCACTTCTTTAATGGGAATGAATATTTATGCTGCCATGATTTCTCTTGCCTATAGAGTATTTTAACAACCACTTCTGTTTTCAAGGAGCAAAAATAAAGCAGTGCATCAAACAAATTTTGTATCTTCTATGCCTGCTTAGGAAAATTACAGTTTTTACTCCCCAGAAAACAACATTCTGATTGCTGTTATAAGTAACCTGCAGTAATACCAGACCATGATGGCTTCCTTCCTCATCTGTTGCAACGTTCCTATTTTATTTATACCAAAGTTATCATACACTCATTAAAACTTCAGTGAAATACGACATGAAAGCAGAAAACACTTTACATGAACCACAAAAGAGCAACGTAACATGGAATGCTTCATAATGAAACAATATCAATATAGTTTTACAGAATTAAATATCTATGCAAGTGAAATATATACTTGTAACAAACACATTAGTGGAATGCATATCTTTTATAAATTGATAAATTCCAAGTTTCAAGTTACAGAATACATCTTATTTCTGTGTGTCAGAGTTCACAATTCCTTCCCTTGAAGGCTACCAAATCACACCAGTACTAATACAAGTACTACTCTGGTAGAACAGAATTTGAATTTGTTTCTGATACATAGAACTATATTAAAATCTGTACACGCAAACCATCAGTATTAAAACAATAAAAAAAAAAGCAGACAAAACCAAGTTGCACTTTCATAGTAAACTAACAGTTTACTATGATAACATTAACATTACATCACAGTACTGAGGAGTGGTTGCTTGTTTAAGAATATGAATTGTAATACAGAAATTAAGAAACATTCTAAAATATGAGAAAATACCTACAGCTTAGTCAGCCATCATGTTAAGAATCACACTAACAAAAGCATAGGATTTGTCTTTCTGTTAACTTTTCTTCCTCTGCCCCTTCTTTTCAGTCAACTGCACCCAAAGAGATGCCATAACGAGTATATTTACCTGGTAAGAGTATAAAACACATATTTGCTAAATGGTACACAGATGAGACATGTAGGACTAACAAGCTATTAGGCTAAATGTTGATCTCATCTTCTAATCCCTCTGATGAGACACTGAAGTCCTTTTTGGTCAGTAAACCAATTAAAGGGTTCAACCAGGTTGATCCATTTTCTGGGTGACATATTCTTCTTCTGACTCCCTCAGGATTTTCATTCCAGTATTTTTTATTTTGAATCCTTGAACTACTATTATTAGTATTCAAATATTCTCTATTACTCTCTAAACTGTCTCATCTTTATCTGCATTTTTATTTCTGTTATTTTGCATGGCTCTAGTTTGTAAATTTCCTCTCTGCTTTTTCTCATTTCCGTGTGAACGTAAGTCTAAACCAGAGTTACACAGATGTTCTATGTCCAAACCAGAATTTGGATCACAGACAGCTGAAACCCTGGAAAGTGGATTACAGGATAAACATACTTGCTTCAGGTGGTGAAGATGTGTTGGCAACAAACACGACTCAACTTTTGCTAGTACAAATATTTTGATAAAGACTCTGTTAGAAAAGAAATTGGTTTACTTTCTTGAGTATTTATTATTTCTTTAGAAGTACAACTTACTGAGTAAGCCTATTTCTTTGTGACATTTATTTAATGGTGTGAAGTAATAAAATAACGATGCAAAAATCCAACTTATGTTACAACAGCTCCACAGAACAAAAAATACAGGACATTCATGCCACTCTTGCCATGACTCATCACAAAGGAAAGAGTATGAACAGGTCTGTAATGAATAGATATGATTAAGTAGGGCAGGAACAAATGTGAGAAATAATGAAGCACATTATGCTAAAACAATATATCTCAATACTCTTCAATAGTATAAGGAAGAAAATTTCTTATTTTCCTCATACCTCATGAAGAAAATTATCTGCTTTAAATAACTATTTTAATTTTTCTTTTTTTATTAGTTCTTTAGTGTATAAATGTTATTATTTTAAAACACTACCGTGCCTTAAGAAAAATTTAGGGCTGAATCTGTTGTAATTATTGCCTTCCACAGGAAATCTTCCAATAACTCATTCTCTTTGTTCTGTTTGTAAAATATGATGAAGTCTATACTTCCTCAAAAATTATTTTTCATTAGACATTCACAATTAAACTCTCTTTTCTGTTACTTCTCTATCCCTTTCTGGTAAGATATAGTGATATATATATAAATAATGTAGCATGCTCATGAGCTCTTTTCTGAAAAGAACTATAAGACAAGATGCACAAATCCAGGCAAGGACAAGGAGTGTGAGCTGATATTCAACTAATATCATATTTACTAACAGCATCTGGCATCATGTTAGGAAACTGCAACAAAAATACATTTCTCTCTAACATTGTGATGCCCATTAGTTGAAAAGCTTAATAACCAGATGAATGTGATTCATTATTCTTAGAACTGTCTGTTCTAAAACCACTGTCTGTGGTTTTCTTTCATGTTTTCAAGCTGCAAATAGACAAAGTAGGAAAGTACAATCACTGTATCATAAAGAAACCTTTGTTATTCATCCATAAAACCAGAACTACGATGTTTTTAATTTACAAGTAAAATTGCTATACATTTCCTTTCTCAAAAAAAAATATTACCTGGAATTGTACCACTCTATAAAGTTAAATATAATTTCAAATTCTGTTAAAAAAATATAAAATGTAATTAAGGGAAAACAGAATTAATTTGGGTTTTTTTAATTTTATTTTTTGACCGTTACTCACATGTAATTTATTTTTCAAAATAAAATATTTTGTCATGATGCTATCTCATAGTCCAATGAAATGTGTGTTATGATATATTTCAATGGAAATCACCAATTTCAATATCCCTTATTCAAAACTAATAGGTGGAAGAATATTTGGGACTACATGATTAGAAAATTCTTTTCAAAACAGTACAACAATGTCAGAAAGCTGAGTAAGAACTTTGTCATGGGTTAAGATTGGTCCCCCTGAGAGTCGGGGGCTCAGAGGTGATTGGGTGCCAGGGCAGTGTTCCCTGGAGAGACAATCACCACTCACCTTGTTCGCTTCTGCTAAAAATCATTTATACACAGCCACTGGAAGCTGTTGGCAGCTTCTGTTGGTGTCTGCTGCGTGTAGGTGTAGAAGGCCAGGGGGTGACTGAGCTTCTTCTTCTCCCCTCTGGGAGGGAAAGGGGAGCCCTGCAGCCCCACCAACTCTGCCTAGGCCAGAGTTAGAGACAGCATTGGAGTGAGTGTATGTTTGTGAGGGATGTGACTCACAAACAACTGGTAAGTGAGAGAGAGAGAGAGGCAGGCCTTGTGGCCAGGCCCTCTTCTTCTTTTTCCCCCTTTGCAGCCAGGCTGCAGAAGGGACTGTTTTTCCCTTTTACTGTTTAGTGGGAGTAGTGCAAGGCTCAGCACTGAAGGAGAGCCAAGTGGACAGGCTGATGACGAAACAACTCGGTGCTAGGGAGAAGAATCCCAGGCGAAACTGGAGATGGATCAAAGGGCTCGGGAGTTGCCCTGCCGAAGTTTGACCAGGGGCAGCCGAAAACTGACTTGGAGGATGTGTACATTGATAAGCTACACTACAACAGCCTACAGAACCAAGTATGAGACCGAGAGGGAGAGATCACACAGCAGAAATGACACAGCATCAAGGAGAAAGGACTCAGAGTTACCTTCTTGGACTTCATGAGGAAGGAAGGACTTCCACAAACAGCTGGAGCTTGGTGAGGGGGGAGCGTTCAGGTCCCCGAACACTCCCACGAGAGAGAGACTGATTACTTATCAGCCTGAAAAGGCTTTTCCTGGACTAAAGTTAAAAGGAGAAGCTTCGGAGTGCTGATAGAAGTGTAATAATATATATATATATATAGTTGCTTTTAGTTTGTACAGTAAATGTGTAAATAAATAAATGTATAAATAAATGTAAATAAATGTGTAAATAAATGTAAATACTTCCCCTTCCACTATAGAAGCCTCTTGCCTGAAAGTTTTCTCTTCAGTGTTAGGATAAATTGTGGGAAGGGGTGGGGAAACTTGGAAATTGAATTTTTGATTTCTAATGTGACTCAAACTGCCACAAACTTATAATAGAAAGTTTGTTTCTTCCATTTTCTTTCTATGCTTTTTCTATCTTTTGAAGGGGGAGTAGAAGGATGTGAAAAAGATGTAAACAGTTATAAAAACATACACTTGCAACACATTTTAGTCAGCTTACACTCTATGAAAAACCCACGATTGAAATACAAACTCTGTGTAAGTCAGGATACTGGGGGTGTTCTTGTGCAATATTCTAAATATTCTTTGAAAACAGTTAGATATTAAGGTAGTTACCAAAGAAACATAGCTGTCTACTCTTATACCAATTGACTAAAGACACAAAATAAATGTCATAAAACCAGTAAATATAATAATCTCAGAATTTCAATACTTTATAACAAATCAACCAATTCTACTTAGTCAAAACGTTGAAATAGAATTCCCATGAGGACAGGCATCTTTCAACGGATTTCTTATTTAAATTTTAGATGGAAATGCGATCCCATGATAAACACCAGTTTCTCTGATAGCTTCTACTTAGAAAAAAAAAGAAAAAAAAGTTAAAGTTCTAATGCATAAGAACAATATATAAGAAAAAGAAATGCTATCACCTTGCTAAAATAAATTTGGATATTATTTAATTTGAAACAGGAACCATCCTCAAAAATAAAAACACATGTACAAATAATAAAAAAAAATTGGACTCTAACCTAACCTACACTTTCTCACGTGCCTTCTGGTATAGTACAGTGGTCTGCTGAACCATTCAATAGCTGAAAGTCTAAATCCCAGGTACCCCTGAGAAACTTTGTACAAGGCTTAAATTTTTTTCATATTTATCGTTTACACAGAATGACCTCAGTTGGGAAAAGTTTATACATGAAAAGTGAATGAAGCCTATCTTCTCATTTTTCACAGGCACCTAGCTTATGCTGAATAACTTATGGTAAAATACTTTGTTTTATTTTCCCAATTGTTAGAGATCAAAATTAAAAAAAGGGAAAAACTAATGAAGTTAACTTAAGTTCATTAAGGCTGTTCAACACAGTTTTTCCAAATATTTTCAAGAACTCTCTTGCTATTATATTTTAGCAGCTACTAGTGGAAGTATTATTCTGACAAATCTTAATTTCATTTTAAATTCTAGCAGAAAAGTTACAAATATAATGTTTTAAAAATGAAAGATTATTAACATAAACCAGAGACCCTCCCCTCCCCTCGATTTATAATGTGTGTATCATGCAAAGCAAGTTAAAATGGGGTTTATGCTCTGTTTTAAAGTCAACATAAACCAAACTCTCTTAGCCTGTTCCTCTGTAGTTCCCTCAGGTAGTAACAATGTGATATTTATCAGTCAGACTTTACCTGATTTTTTTTTTTATTTTCAGCACATGGTTTATTGGGAATTTCTGTATTGGTTTATATCATGCTCGGCTGGTGTTTGACCTATCTCGCCAGTTTGATCACGGTCAATTCAGACTGGACTGTGGGAGGGTTAAAAAAATCAGCAAAATTGATTACACATTAAGAGATACCTAAGTTTACTATTCTGTTTGTTATATGTGATATCTGTATTTACTGTTAATAAAGTTTTTATTTTTAAAGTGACTAGTGATGAAAATTGTTATTTGTTTTTCTTTAAAAGTGTACTGAAAAGATTCTTATGATGTGGGAAAAAGGAATTTTGACATGGACCACACAAAGAAAACATGTCTTTATTCAGAACTGAATTATATTTCATTTATTTGTATGAAGAAAGACACACTATTACCTGAAAAAGCTTTTTGAAGACAGGCTGTGTTTTCCCTATGTCTACAAACAACATAGAATAGATGACAAGCAGCTCTTCTTGTCATCTACACTAATTTAATTACTTAAAGTAGTATAGTCTGGAGCCCTCTGATCCCACTGACACCACCGACTGAAAGAAATGCCTCCATATTTTCTCCTATTTTAGATCAGCTTTATTTTAAGTTTGAGCTGATCCTAGAATTTTCACCTCTGAAATATGGGAAAATGTGCTTGTATTTATATGGGATAAATACAAGCATTGTTAACGATCAGTACACATTCTGAGGATTATTAACATTTTATTTCACCTTAAAAATTACATGCAATGCACACTAAATTTGAAAATTTTTCAGAGGTAACAAGTAGTTCTCCTTCAGTTTGTAGATTCCAGCGTGTCTACATATTGGGTTACATAATAGGAGAAATAGCAACAAAGTAGATTAGAAACAGGCTTTACTAAGGGGAATTGCTAAGAGAGAGATCATCCCAGATCATTAAGGTCTTCAGCCTCCAGTAAATGAAAACTTGCTCAAAATGCTTAACAAAAATTAGGAAATTGCATTCTCAGAAATTTTAAAAGAGCATTTTTGTAATTATGGTTTGTTGTTTGGGGTTTTTTAATGATATTTTATATTCCCAGTGCTACTTAGGTATATCAAATTAGTGTTAAAATAAAAAGAAAAGGTGTTTAATTCAGTTCTCTTTATTATTCTAGAATATATTTAACTCAGAAAGTGGAGAACTAATTTGAAGTAACATTCATTTTCTCTGCTTTTTGAAATGTGCAGTCACATCCTCAGGAGTTTTGCAGCAGACCTTAATCGGAAGGGACATTCTAACCTGAATGCCAGAGGCAAAACCTCACAAATTCTGGAGAAGAATATGCACAGTACCCTTCCCCCAAATTTTCTTCCTGGACATAGAACCACAGGTCTATCACTGACCAGGAAATTAACCAAAGATTCAATCATAGACCTAAGGAACTAATAGTTCAGATTTTATTTGTAGTTACTACAATTTTTTGCAGTTCTTGGACTCATGTTGTAGAAAAAAAAAGACACAAAAGAGAATTAAGAACAAGGGAAGAGGAAATTAATTACACATCCCTGATTCGAAGATACTTGGAAAATAGTAATATTTTTCCTGTGCTCTTATATACATATATATATACATATACATATATATATATATCTGTGTAAGAGTATGCACCTCACATTTTACCTTTCCTCTACAAAGGACACTGCTAGAATAATGTAGAAAATTGAGCTAAGCGTTCTTTTTATTCTTTTTATTTCATTACCAAGTGTGTTGACAGAGTGGAACTGAGGATATAAAACAATTATTTTGGAAAAAAAAAAAGCTCTAGCTGAGGATGAAAAAAAATTGGCATTATATATCTGCAGAAAGTAGTAGAGGTACTAGAAATGTAGAGCTCGATGTAATTTTTTTTGCAAAATACATCTTTTGTCAGAAAATTCCTATTCTTCAAAAGAAACTTTTCCAAGGGAATCTAAGTGAAATTGATATTAAAATAATTAGTTTTGGGATTGCTTTTCTGGGTGAGAAAAGGCTCCCATTGTAGCAAAGAAGTAATGAGGCATTTAAATAAAGCACATGAAAATAAGGTTCATGCTCTTACGCTGTTTGATTGGAACAGTCTTCCACCTTTTCCTTTCCAGTGCATGAACTTCTTTTAGCCAAGACCCTACTGGCATACCAAATATGCTACTTGTTCTCACTTTGGCCCAAAAAGATTATTTCCTCTACCTAAGAAAGCTGTCCCAGCAAGCTCCACTGAAAACAGTGCACTTCTGATTTCAAGGAAGAGTGTGAAACTGTATCCTTCCTGTCACAGTTATCTTCCTTACATGCAGAATGTAATTCCTGTTTTCCAACTGTCACTATTGATATAACACACAGAGTCTTATATTTTGGCACTCTGTACTTCTCGAATCTGTGTTCTTGCAACTGTTTCTGTTTCTGTAGTATCTGACTTCATTGGGAATTTACCCTACTCTTCTGTGATGTGACATTGATCAGCATTTTGGGAAATTTGGGCAAGTTGCAATTCCTCATCCTTGCCAGTTTTCATATGCCAGGTTTTAGCCAAAAAAACAATCAAACAAGCAAAAAAAAGCCTCTTTAAAGGCAACCCCCCCAAATAATAAGCTTCTTATATGAAATATTGTGGTATTATTAATGTAGGAACTCAAATTATTTTACAATTGTGATTTTCTGGTACTTTGTTTTTCCAGTGGTGCTGTACTTAACAACTAATTTATTGAATTTTTCCTTGAAATTGGGAAAAGACTGTCTTTTCCCACTCTTAGAGCACTGCTGATTCCTGCTTAAAAGTTGCTAAATATGCTGATGTTGCAAGTCCATAGTGCAAGTTTGTTGTTTACTTAGGACCAAGGAATTTAGTTTGATTAGGTTTCAAGTTAAACTCAGTCATGACCCTAACAAAAAAGTTCATATTTCAGAGATGAAACCCAATCAAATGGTATTTTAAAACTCTGGATGGTGCCTTCTTTTCTTTCTATAGAAGCATTGCATGTGCATATGTGCATATGTGCATTCTTTCCCATTTTCCACCATCTGTCCCTCCTACAGACACTTTTTAATTTTTGAGCAGACAAGGTGAGGCATATGAATGTTTTAGGCTGTATAGCTTGAAGACATAATTTCATTCTTTAATTAGTTTCAGGAAATCTAATAAGGAAATTCACAGAATATTGAATATTCTAGTGTACCTGTCATCCTCGCTCAGTATATATATATAAAGGCGGATTTACAACTAATAAAAGAATTTATGTAATAGGAGAAGATCAACTCAATATAAGCAGTTAGTAGAAGAGGATAAATAATGTTTTGCAATTCAACAAAACTTCTACCTCCTACACTACTAAGGTGACTAATACGAAGCTTTGTTTTGCTCATCCTCTAGGGAAATTCTACTTGAAATCTAATTGTGTTATCACTACTGAATCATATTTTTAG